GCAATAAATACGCTAAGAGACACAGGATGCTCAGAGGCTGAGTGATTTATGAGAAAGAAAGTGCTCTTCAAAAGCTTGACGCTCATTTGCATCCAGCCAAACAACCACCATACAGATTGTTTTCACAGCACTGTGTGTAAGAGTGCACCAGGACCTGAATATGATGGTGTGTTTAATCTTCACATCTAAAACCACACAGCATTCCTCAGGGCCTATGGTAAGGAGGCCTGTTGAGGATTTGATATACTGAGAGTGCTGCTCACCTATATTTCAGATGCATTTTTCCAAGGCATTTGCATTTCAGAGTCGCTCTGAAACCTACAGGCCAATGCTTGTACAACCACAGGGTAAATAAAGGCCAAAAACAATCAGGTTTTTTATGGGGCAGTGGAAAGCAAACTACACAAAGTGCTTGGGCAACTTGACTTCTTCCCTGGAGAATAGTGATGTCAGGAGGGTTTCTAACAGGCTGAACATGAGCTGAACGCAGTGCAGAGCCACCATCACCTCCAGGGGGCTGCTTCTTCCCCCCCAGCAGCCCTCCTGCTGTTCAAGGGGGATGGAGATGCTCAGGGCTCTGAGGAATGCCTTGTATGTCTCACTGCTGCTTGCTGGAGGACGCTGACATGGTCTGGGACAGAATTAGAAAACCTTGAGCAGGAGGGCAACCAGGCACAAGTGCTAAGTCAGCCAGAGGCTATATGTGGCACACCAGTTGCTGCCTCCCCTCCCTCCCAGCTCAGGGTGCATGTACACACACTTTCACCAGCCTTTCTCAAGCATTTCCCACGCAGGTAAAGGGCAAACGTGCTCTTTCAGCCCTCCTGTAACCAAACCCTCCACATCAGACTTGTGTTTTCAGATATTCATTCCCTTGCCTGCTCCTCTGAAGTCATTTGACTTCAGCCTGCACTACTGACACCCTGTCTGTGTTCAGCCTATCTGTGCCTCACGCCACACTTGGAAGAGCCAAAAGGCAAATCCTTCCTCCTTAAGCATACCCACTGTCTCCCTCAGGTTGGCAGAGCCCTTCACTTGCGCCCATAAGCCAGCCCTGGTGTTAGGCAGACACCTCATCTCCCACCAGCTGTAAATCCAGCACCGAGGAGTGGCCACACTCCTGCAGTCACTTCCCCCTGCCTATCCAAGGACAGGGGAACCCTTTGTCTTAAAGAGCTTTTGGGAAGACTCGCTCTCCTTTCTGAGCTGTAGACAAAAGCTAACAGAAATGCACAGCTACATGTCTACACTGAGAAACTCACAGAGGACCTCATTTGACCAAGACAGCCCCAAACATGCTGACCTAACCATTTATTGTGCAGTTCTTCCACAGAAACTTGTGTCCCAGAGCTGCCAACGCCTTGGAACCAGCTCTGCTTCCCTGTATCGAAAGCGCCTCACACTGACAACGCCAAATCACTGATAGCAATCAGGTGCTTTAGAATAATTAGGTTGTACACGGTCAGAATTGCTGCCTGAAGAGAACACCTTGATAATTTGCCGGCAGCAGATCTCTGGTTTGTTACCTTAAACACACAGTGAAACATGGGAGAATCAAAGCAGACAAGTGGGCTGACCAAGGTAGTGATCACCTGTTGAAGAGAGCACAAGAGTCTCTGCAGCATCTTGATGGAGAAGAACGCATGGTGAAATGGAGTATTTACTCCCTCAAACTCACTATGAATTTGAGTAACTCCAATAACTGCCTAACAATCTAGTTGCCTTCTGCACCTGGTTACATTCTTGTCCCCAAGTAGTTTCCCTGGCAAAGAGTTCCACAACCTCACTGGTGCAGGAAAAAACACGGCTCCAGTGTGTTAGTTCTGAAGTCCCTTGTTTCATTTCAGCAGGGTTCTCCCTGGACCCCCTTGTAGGTCCTGTGGCTTTGGGTAATGGGATCACCTCCCACTTAGTGATGGAATACAATAGGTGGTTGTACCTGGGCACAGCTTCAAACTGTTGCCGTGTTTTTCAAAGCCCCACGCTTGCCAAATGGTACATGTATGCTTATGGCTTCTCCTGCTGACATTGCAGCCCCCCAACCTTCACTGGAGGAATGCAGCAAATACTCAGTAGCAACAGGTGTCAGACAGGAGTTCATCACAGGAAACTAAGAGCATGCCAGACAGCTGAAATGATAGATGATAACCGGGTATGGGACAGCAAAATGAGACCAAACTAATTGCATTTTCAAGTATTTTAGACAGTAAAATGCAAGAGGCTCAAAGGGAGCATCCAACAGCTCTGTAGCTCGCTCACTGCCCAACATAAGGGAGATCCAGCCTCCTATTCTGGTGCTGGAATTTAAGCCAGCACCTCCCTCCTCCAAAAGGAGCAACCAGCTTCCTGAGCTATATACAATCCTCAGGCAGAGCCACCCTTGTTGAGACTAGATCAAAAAGGCAGAGACTTAAAAGGAATTGCAGAGGGATCACAGACTTTCCACTCTGGTGCTGCAATCAGCATCCATCTCTGTGACCCAAGCCCGGAAAAACAACGTAATTCATTTCAAAAGTGTCAGAATGAATCACATCAATGCTCCAGAAGAGAAAACAAAAACACACACACCTCCATTTATTAAATCAACTGAATCTGGCTCAAATGCATAAAGTTTTGTATTGGCCAGTACCTGTATCTTTATAAAGCTTTTCCAAAACCAGGCAAGCATCAAGCAAGTGGACCCAAGGCCGTGTTTCCACGAGCGACAGGATTAACAGAGCAGCGCAGCCAACAAAAGGCTTCTCCTTGGCTAGATTTTTGGGGCCTGATGAAACCTGAAGCCCTCTTCCCACTCACAATGCCTCTCCCCTGCTGCAGGATTCACCCCCAGGAAGAAGGCAGCCCCACACTCCCAGGAGCTGCACACCCGACAGGGCAGATGCCAGCAATATCTCACATCCTCAGCTGCTGCTTTCCCTTAAAAGTGGATCTGGGCAAATCCCAGCAAGCGTGAGGCTGGGGGTTTGCTCAAGTGCTTGTGCTCACAGGAAGAGGCTGCTAACAGCAGAGAGGAGCCGTCCTGCTGCAACAGCTGGCCTCAGAGCATAGGGACACATCTCCACACTTGGCTCCCAGGGGACAGGCAGGCACACAGCCCACACACTCCCAGGGATGTCCTGGGGCACATCCAAGCTTGCTGGGCAGATAAACCCACAGCCTCCTATCCCAAAGGCAGAAACATCAGGTTAGGGATATCAATTCTGTCTCACAGGTAAAATGAAGACCTGCCATCCCCTGCCTTCTTCACACTTACCCTCTCACTTGATCAATATACTATTATTTTGTGGCAGCTACTTAGAAAACCTCCTTTTCTGTTGATTTGATGTATCAGAACATTTGCCTGCTTAGGCCACGCTGTGCAGAATCAGCATTAAACTCGTGTTTCATTTTTAGAAACCCGCCTTCTTCATTTTAAAATACATTTAATAGTGGCTTTTGGGCTTCTTTCATTGCAAACCTCAGGTTACTGCAGAAGTTACTGGATTGTCACTGATTCTTCCTTGCCAATACTTATAGTTCTCACAGTGTAGAGACATACACACACACACAAAAAAAAAAACAAACAGATTTCCTATCAAGTTCCATCTCCACAATTCATTTCTGGTGGTGGACTTTGCCAAAGGTTGGTTTGAGCAACATAAGAGATGGGCACCATACATCAAAGGCATCTAGGCTCTCAACACTGCTCAGCAGAGTTCATGTGACAGAAATAACTGCTCCATCAAAGCCTTGCATTTGCTAGCACAGAGCTCCTGGAGGCTGGAGAATGAATGGGAAAGGGAAAGGCAGACAGCAGCCCTGGGTTTCTCTGCAGAAGATCTTAACCATACACAACAGGGGAAACTATCAGGTTCAAAAGAGTTAGAAAAGCTAATTTGTTGTGCTGAAAAGAGTCTGATGAGAACAGAAAGGCTCCTGCTCAAAGCTGTCTCCCAGTGAGACCAAGAGAGCACGGAGAGCGTGGAGAACCATCTAGAGATGGAGGGGTAGAAGGATAAACATGGGAAAAAGGAAGGGCAATCAGACAAGGAGAGAGCAAAAATACCTCCGGTGGCTGCTGACTGGTTTCTGATCATAACTACTTTCTAATGAGGAAACATTCTGTGGGGGAAAATATCATCCAGCTGACCTCCAGTCATCAGGAGCTCAGCTTATTCAAAGGAAAGGAAAAAAGATCAAAGGAAAAATTTAAGCAGTGTCTTAACGTGATAGAAAGGAATCATGAGAGCAGCTGAGAAATGCTCAGGGCCCGGACCGGCGCCTTGGCTGAAGGTACTGCAGCATTTTCCTTATTTGTCTGCTTTATTTTTAAACACCCAGAGCCTTTGCTTGATCAACATTGCCCTGTAAATGAAGGAAGCAGAGGAGTGCAGGACTCTGGGGAGAGAGGCAAACAAGGTTGGAAATTGATGATCTTCCCAGCCATGAAAGTCAAAATGCCTGCTTGAAACCAAACCCTCTGGAGCACGACACAGGCATGGGGCAGAAGGGGAGGGAAGGAAAGAAGATTTATGACTTCAGCAGAGTTGAAATTCTGATGAGAAAAAAGAACCGTTCAATCCATGCCCGAATGGCAACAGCAGACCTGAAAGCTGATTTGTCACATTTCCCCTCTACTTTTCATAAACATAAAAAGAACAAAAAAAAAAAAAAAAAAAAAAGCAGAGGAGGTGGCTGGAGTTTTTAAAGGGAGGGAAAAAAGCCTCTGAAGTCCCTTGATCTTCTGAAGCCCTGAACTCTTATTCCATTTATAGCCCAAGCTGGAATGACACCCCCCTTGATTAGGGACTGTCCAATCCAACTGCATGTGTCAGGATTGTACAAGGCACTAAGTGAAATATATATATATGCCCTTATAGAGTTTAGCACACTGGGTCCACCTCCAGGGCACAGGCTGTAGCTCATTCCGACCACTGCTTCTCTCCCAGGAATCGTTTTCAGGGGGGGTCTTCAGGTTTTTTGGGGGAGCCACCTTCACTCTCAAGTTTAAGCAACACAAAATGGCACCTAAGAAGGACGTTAAGAAACCAGCAGCAGCACCAGCACCAGCACCCGCACCAGCACCTGCGCCAGCGCCCGCTAAACCCAAAGAACCAGCAATCGATCTCAAGAGCATCAAGGTAATGGATGAACGCGTGCTGATGGCTGACCCCAAACGCTCCCAAGAGGGAAAGTTAGCAGAGTTCTTGCTGAAAGCCGCAGTGAAATGTTGTGTGTGTTTGGTTCCCGCCTGGGGACTGCAGTGAAGTGACTAAGTAACCCTCGGGCAGTGGATTTCTTGAGCTGCTGAGCTTGTGGCTGTTTCGGTAGCTTGGAGGGGTGTGAGGCATGGCGCATGATTTAACTCAAGAGTGGAGCTTGGTGACTTCAAGCATATTGTGGAGGGTCACCCTCAGAACTTTTTACCAAACCAGTATCAGCCTGACTTGCTTAGTAAAGCTGAATTTACAAAGTTCCACTAAAAACAAACAGACAAAAAACAACCCCAAGAAAACCCATGAAAATTAATCCCCCGAACCCTGAAGTAGGTGCATGAAGACTGGAAAAGGTTACTGGAACTTGGAATGAAATGCTTTCCCACAGCATGGCACTAAAAACAGATGTTATTTTGCAATTTCTCCTCAAAGTTCTTCCCAAATTTTTGCAATCACTCAATGACCCATTGGGCATGTGTTTTAAGATCAGCACTGCTTGTCTTTAAAAGCAGCAGAGATTAAAAAGATTTGGCAAATTCACCTATTTTCATTTTCTCTGTACAACCAACACTGAAAAACACTGTGAGCTAGAAAGCCACGAATGCAAGTGCTTCAAGTTATTTCCTCTCACCTTTTCATAACTGCTCAAAATTCACAATTTGCTGCAAACTGAGAGTAAGGAAGAGGAAAAGGCTTCCACAGGTTTCCCTCTGACTGCATGCCCATTGGAACTTATTGTGAATTTAGACTTTGCATGCCATCCAGCATCACCAATCTTTGCCGTAACCCTCTGAAAAGAATTCCCCAAGCACTCCTCAAAGGGAAATCTCTATTTAGGAAAGAGTAGGGGGAGGTTAAGCAGTTAAAGAGATGAAGGGACAGACCTATTTCTCTGGGCTTGACTATAAATAGTTGTTCTCCACCTACCCGACAAGCTGATTGGTCCCGGGACCAATTTGCTGATAAGGAATCATGCCTACTACGAAGAAAAGAAGGAGTACAAGGACTCCTAATAGGACCTATTCATTTTAATCTCACGATGAATTCTGTTTAAGGTCTCTGAATACATGCAGCCTGTCATCAATATAGTCCCAGGATTATGACCCACTTAGTGAAATTCCTGAAGTTGTCTTTGATTTTCACCACCGGTAGCCAGTATTCTGCTGGAACAGCACATAGCTCCTCGTAAGATTGAAGCTGAACTCATAGCAAAGCAAAACATGAAAAGAGGGGGGAGGAAAAAAAAAAAAAAATAATGGAAATATTGAAAACAATCTTAGTGAAAGCCACACAAAAGCCCACTGTTTTTGAGAATACCATCTAAAAATTAGATTAGACTTCACATTTTGCTCATCTCAAAAATGAAGGGGAACACAAGCTACATTGCCTGTGAAGTCATTTACTGTGATTTGATAGCTCTCTATGTCCAGTTCATTAGGAGAAAATAGAATTTTCAACTTCAGTGATCTCAGCTAATCTATCTTAACATAAATAGACTTAATAGTATATTACCAGCTAAAAAAATGGCAGTCTGCAGTCTAAGACAATCCAACTCACTCTTCTGCACAGACAGCTCTCCTCTACAGCAAGGGATATATGCCAACAGCAAAAAGAGAATGCTCTAGGTTTTATCAGATCCAATATGACAAAAGAGAGTCTTCTTAAATCCTTTTTTCTGATAGATCAGACATTATTACTCTTTGAAGTGTGGGAAAACCTGGTCTAGTAAAACTTTCTTAACACTAATGGCAACACACAAGCATTACTATTGCCATTTGCAAATGAGTGAAGCTATGAGCAGCATGATGGAGGACACAGGTCTGCCCTGCAGTGTGGCTGGCACAATCTCTGTCCCACCACGGCCTTAGCAGGCCAGGAAGCAACACAGCGGTGCAACACAGGCACAGAGAGCCCCCAGCAATGAAGGGCCCACCCAACTGCACAGTGATCACCACGAGGTGATGCAGGAGCCCACACTGCCTGTCAAGGGGACAGGTCCCTTCAGTCCCAAGCCTTTGCCCCACACCTGGACCTCCATGGCAGTCCAGGGTTGCTCAGATGGACATGGCACCTCCAGGGTCGGCTCTTTGAGCACACAACAGGAACAACCACAGTGCTTTCGGCACGGCATCTTACAGCAGGACTGGACAACCTCCTCAAGTGCCAGCCAGCCAGCCATCCCGGATTACCCATTTTCACTCGCTGACACCTCAGGAAATTAGGGGAAATAGTCTTCTCTTCTAACCAATTTGACCAGGAGATGTATGTAGATGTATGTAATTGGGTACAGAAATACACATTCTCTGAGTTTTAGCTCAATCCCTTCTCTTAACATTACTGAATCCTGAATCCTTCCATTCAACCAGCAAAGTGTCAGCACAGCACCACTTCCACCAAAACTTAAGAGCCAGACAGTACCTAAACCTCAGCTTCTGACCAGGACTCTCTTCTGATCAGCACCCTCTTCTGGAGCTCTTGTGCTGATCTACCAAGTGTGGAGTCAAAGCCCCAGCACTTTCAACAGCAGTATCAAATGGGCTCCCCTATGCTCACCAGGGGAATTATCAGTCATCTCGGAGCTTGCTGCAAACAAGGGATTCCTGGGATTACCGGGCTGTGGGGCCAGCAATGTTCTGGAGAGTCACCAAGCCAGTAGACACACAGAAAGGCTTCCTTAATTTTTACATCCAAGCTCCCTCTATTCATTACAGCTGGAGTGGGTAAGGGTAGAGCTGCCAAATCAGGGTTTACATCAGCCAAATAACCTAATCTGGCAGCGCACCTCATTTTCAGTGGGTATCAAAAACCATAATATTCTCCAAAACAAACAAGAAAGATGTTACCCAATATTGCTGATCATTCTTTTGGGGATATTCCTCCCCTCAAACGCCTTGCTTGGCCATTCTTTATGCAGTCCTATCTTGAGCCTCTTGGGATGCACGCTTTATAAGCCAAGATTAAGAAGTCTTAAGCTGGATTCTTGCAAAAGTAGGCACCCAAAATCACCTAGCATCCTCAGAAGTGGCAATGGGCCTTTCATCTTCTCTTGTTACTACTGACCGTTCTTTCCACGCACACTTTAAATTAACCCAGTTGAAGGAAATGACTTAGTAACATACTAGCAGCTAGTGTGAGATTTGCTATTTTTGAGCACCATCTATTGACTAAAACCCTGAGTAACAGGAATATCAGACTGCTGAAGACTCAAGTCTCAGTCTTTCCCTCAGCTCACCCTAGGTTATAATGCAACCAGGACAGAAAGGAAATCAAGGCAAGGACTGAGAACAGGAGGAATTCATTTCTATGTCAAAGATTAAAGACCTTTTTTCCCCTACTCAAGGAACATCAACTCTGAATCTGCTTCGCATAAGCCTTCCAAGTCTAAATTTATATTTCCTTTTTCCAAAAGCTTGTCCTGAGACTTTAATGTCAAATACAAAGGTTAAGAATTAAATCACTGACAGAAGAAGAACAGAGTGATGCACACATTGGAATATTACACTGGACTTCAACAGGAACCAACCATGATTAAAAGAACATACAACCATATCAGTCATTTTGTTAAGAGACTCTTGGAATTTAGTACTTCAAACTGTAGGGAAGGACATCCCCCCCAAAAGTTAGCTCATCTGTTTTGTTAACTTTCTTCGCATGTGTATGCCTCAGAAGGTCTGAGCTGATGAACAGCACTACTATGGAACATTTACAATGAGAACTTCTCAGGTGTTTGGTTTTGCAACAGAAGGCTAAACCTCAAAATGTTCAAACCAGAAGCAGGTAGACAGTGTTTCCTCATGTTTAACTCTGTCCCTACCACTAACGTGAAGCGTGTGCTGCTTTTTTTCTTCTGGAATCTTGAAGGGCCCTTCCCAGCACATACATCCAGTCCTTGGATCAATACCAGCCTTGCATCACTGACCACAAGGCTTTGGGATCTGGAGATGCTGAGCTCAGTGCTTTTCTTTGTAGTGATTTGGATGCGTAGCACTCCGATCCAGCGTCACACCAGGTCCTTTTCTTAGAGTACACCTGAGTGTCTTTCCCAAGTACCCATGGTGTAACTGATGCTCCTTTTTCACAGTGGTGTTTTCAAGGAAACTGATTATGCTGTACCCTATTGCAGATACACTACCTGCATCTTTGGGGGAAAGTAACTCATAATTATCAGCTAACAGATATTTGCTAAGGCCTTGTGCAACTGCGTGATGCATGACAAAGCCTGCTGCATGGATGCAAGCCTGTGTGATTGTTTTGTTTTTAAATACAGAGCTCTTAAGACTACAAAAAGCGTTTCTCCAAATGTCCTTAACTCTTAATACGTTCAGTACTCAAGAAGGTCATCTCTGAACATGCACTGCATTGGATATAACCAGAGAGGTAAACTCACTAAATGCACTGACAGAAAACTGCTGGGCTGGAGGGCGAGCAGGGCTGCAAATGTCAGCTCAAGAGCTCAGAGAGCAATTGCACTGCAGACAAACTCCTTGTGAAGTGGCAGAATGAGAACAGCAAGGTTAACAGTAGCTTTGCTCATAGCATTAAGGGCTTTCTGAGAAACTGGCAGGCTGAAATTTTTGGCTCAGGCCTTTAGGTTATGCCTGACCCAACACCAGCGACACTCCAGATTCTTTGGGATGGACTTAGCTACTAGACAAGGTCACTGGTCCTAAGCACCCTTCAGGTAGGAAGGAGACAAACACCAATAAGACCTCACCTTAAGAGACATTGAATTATCTCCCCGACCATCCAGACCAGCTTCCTCAAGTGCTGTTAAGCAAGGAGCCCCGCAGAAATATATTTTGTCCATATATTTTAGGAAACACTGTCTTTAAATGGTTTTTCAGGTTAGCAAAGTAATGGCTTCCCCTTCCCCCCCCCCCCTTTTTTTTTTTTTTTAAATTTCAAACAAGATCCATTCTTAGTAA